TAGTTATCAATGGTTCGCTGTCAAATTGGAAGGGTGTATCTAGGGGGGGTCCTGCAGGGGTCTGTCCTGGGTCCAGTATGTAGTGTGAGGACAGAAACATAGAGACATGCTGTAAGCAGCAACTAGAGCACTTCCTAACTAAGACGTTCCTATTTTTATTAAGCTCCTCACTGCAACACATCTTTGTCTTCTCTGGTAATTGCGAAGGACTAGGAACTCTCTAACCACTCCACACCTCTCTTTCTTTATATTAAAAGATTAAAACTTAATTGTACACCAATGGATATACACACAACAATTCAAAATAAACTTCAAATTCTTTAACACTATTTACACTACTATGTCCCTTTATCAACTGCATTTAAATAGTCTTGAACAGTATTCTAAAGACCAAGTCTTTGAGGGGAATCTGATCAGTCTTCTACACCATGTTCTCACTTCTCTTGAGTTTGTGCATGGAGTTCCTCACAGAGGGGGCTCACTTCCTGATAGAGTACCTGCAGGACCCAGATCCTCTTTTCATTGTGTTTGGAAAACATTGAAGATGAACCCAATTCCTCCAAAGAAATCCTCTTGGAATCTCCACTAGGTAGGATCTGGGAGTTTCCACCAACTTCTGAACAGTTCCAAATGTCTGGGAGCTCTTGAGCCAAACTTTGTTCCCTGGTTTCAGTTCAGATGGGGCTTTTGTTCTGTGTGGAGCACTGAAGTTTTGTTGTGGCAGGACTTTTATTTCAGCATCCTGTTTTCAAAATTCCTTCAGATCAGGCCATTTAGGTTTAAGCTGTATTGGCACCACATATAAAAGTGTCCTTAGTCATCTTCCTGTCAGAATTCTGTTGGAGATGGTCTAGACACAAGCAGCATTAACTGATATGACAGGGGTACTTTATTGGGGTCCACTGATTTTTGCAGAAGTCTTTTTAAAGTTTGCACTGCTCTCTCCGCCTCCCCGTTGCTCTGTAGGTAATATGGTCTACTAGTACAATGATCAAAATCAAAGTCCTATGAAAACGCTAGGAATATTTCAGAGGTAAATTGAGGTGCATTATCAGATACGATAACTACAGAAATTCCATGCCTTGCAAATATTTTATTTAGTTTCTGTATGACTTGTGCTGATTAAGTCTGTGTAAGTAAAGCCAATTCAATACATCTGGAGAAGTAACTAACTACAATAATGTATGTGTGTCCTTTCCAGAAAAACAAATCTGTGGTTTTACACTGCCAAGAGTGTGCCGTCCTTTCAGAAGCAGGCCATCACCCATTTGAATGTCATTCTGGTCCTGTCGATATGGTAATAGGTCTCTTGGAAGTTGACTCCTTCACTCCCTCCCTCTTTGGCAGAGTTGAGTCAGTTTCTGGCAAGTATCATCCTTTAGTTGTTCATTTCTAATTTGCTGAAGGCAGCTGTCAATTCATGCTGGTATTGCTGCAACAACAAAGTAAACACAGACTGACATCTTTCTCTAAAGCCTTTGCTTCTTCCATTCATGTCTGAACTATTGGAGTCTAAATAGAATGTCTACTGTGCTCTCCCTAATATGAGTGCTCTCCCTAGTATGCTCAATGTTCAAGGAAATTTCATCAGACGCAGTTGAAATCTTTGAATCCTAGGTGGAAGATCATCCAGCTTTTGAATCCAATAATGCCACTAAGGGCTTGTTTCTGTGTTAAAATTCCAGTCAGACAGACATGCAGTGAACCATTCACAGGCGCAAGTGACTGCTACACCTTTCTTTTCCACTCAAGAATATAGCTGCCTGGTTTCTGTGAGGCTTCTCGATATGAACGCAACAGGTCTACTTTTGTGTGAGTACTGCTCCTGAACCCTGTAAAAATACGTCCACTGCTATCATTGTGGAATGGTTTAACAAATATTGTCCCAAAATAGATGGAGATGTCAGTAGTTCTTTTATCTTATTAAATATGTTTTGTTGTGGACTAGCCCAGAGCCACATATTGTGACCATTAAAGAAATATCTTAAGATTTCTTGGTAAGAATCTCGCAAAATTATTTATCATGCCCAGAAACATTTTTGGGTTCAGGTAAGGCAAGTAATGCTTTCAGTTTGCCTGAATCTGGCTGAAGTACCTGTTTGCTAATTATCGCTCTGACAAATTTTATCTGCTCCTTTCCAAATTCACATTTCTCATTCAGAGTGAGGCCAGCTTGTTGGACGCATGTCAAAACTGCATGTAATCATTTTCCTCTCTCCCATATATCAACACATCATCTGCATAGCAAAGGATGCCAGGCAAACCTGACATGATCTGAGAGATTCTCTTTTGGAAATGTTCTGGTGCTGAAGACATGCCAAATGGAAGATGATTGAAACAGTACCTTCCAAATGGGGTGATGAACATAGTTAATGATATAGATTCTTTAGCCAGAGTGATTTGCCAGAAGATGTTGTAGCATCTAACTTTGAGAAAATTTTGGCTTCTGGTAACTGAGTTAATGTCTGGTCAACTGTAGGAAGCACGTCTTTCTCTGTACATGCTTTTATTAAGTTGTGCAAGATCCACACAAATTTGGATTTTGCCATGGTGCGTTGGTATTACAACCATCCCTGCACACCAGTCAGTAGGTTCTCCTATCTGGGAAATAATCACCATATCTTCCATTCTCTTTAATTTTTCTTTTACTTTTCCTAGCAAGGATATAGGGATGTAGCATGGGCTATGAGAGCAAAGGGAGTCACTGATGGAACCAGTTTTATTTTGTATTCTCCTGGCGGCTTTGCTAGGCCTGTGAAAAGGTGTGGCTACATCTCCAGTACAGCTTGTGGTGGTGGTGTTGTGTGTGTGTTTTGGTTGTTGTTTTGTTTTGTTTTTGCCATTAATGCTTTCCAGTTTCTCTGCTAGGTGTAGTCCTTGTATTGCTGGCAATCCTAGTACAGGAGTTGTTAGTCCTTGTATTACATATTATTTTCCACTTTCCCCACTCACCCTCCACTCTGCTAGTCTGGGTGGAGGGGGTTTCTTTTCTTTCCTTTATTCCTTTAGAGAAAGGGATTCACTCACTTCTGACACCATGTAGTGTGAGGATATAAACACAAAAGGCTATGCTTTAAGCAGCAACTATAAAACTTCCTAACCAGAAAATTACCACATTTATTAAGTACTTTTGGGAAATTGGACTGGTTGGGGTTTTGTTATCTTTTGTTTTGGGAGGAGGGATGGTCCACTCATAACTCAAAATTAAATTAATCCAAAAATGTCAGATTTATTCTACATACTAAACTCCATCAGGACTAGTGGACAGGACTGTTTACACTAAATTGGTGTGCAAAAAGTTATCTTATTAGAGGGCGTCTCTAAATGTATTAGAACTTCCACAAGAGGTCTGGTGAATGTTACAAGCTCTTCCACATCTTTGATTTTTGACTCCTTTTGCCTTTAAGATTGTCTCAGTGAATTATCTGAAAAAATCATGATTCCTCCCACCTTCATTTCCACCTGCCAACCTTGTAAGCTGCCAGCCACCAAAGCTCTTCCTTTGAGTTCTGGCTCCTGAAAGCTTCACCCTCCCATGCACTCCATCTGGAATCACTGCTCTCAGCCTCAGCAGGGACACCCTCATTGCCAAGGGGAAGTAAATGGTAGTCCCCCTGACCTCTGCCCGTGAACAACAATTGTTTGCCACCATAACCGCTACTGGAACCTGGGTCCAAACTGAAGCAGCTCCTGTGTCCATGTGCTTGCCCTCACGCTGGTGCAGGGATGAATTCTACAAGCCGTGGTGGATACAGCAACTTTGTCTGGACAGAGTCCCCTCAGAGGCAGCAGTGACTGAAAGGTACTGTGATTCTTTCTTCCAGCAGTGAAATCTTCACCCTTTCACAAGGGAACACAGCACTACAGGAAATGCCATACTGGATTCTATTTTCAACAGTGGCCAGTATCTGAAGTTTATGGGGGCATTGTAAAATAGAACTGGGTGAGGAAAGAGGTTCTGTTTTGTAGAAGATTTTGATATTTCAAAATCTGGATTCATTCTGAATGAAAACCAAAAACTTAATCATTCTCCACAAAACAGAATACAACCCCAGGGCTGTCCTGCTGTGGGGCTGCCCCAGAGTCACACTAGAAGCACTAAGGTTGCCCTGTCTGTGGTAGTCTCTTGGTGGGCTACCCTAGGGCCATAGACCCTGCAAGCACTGGAATTCATGACCCCAAGGCAGTCTTGATGAGAGCTGAGCTGACACAAAGCCATAGACCCTGGTGGTCCAAGCTGCCAAGGAGCTGGACTGGTAAGCATCTAGTAAAATGGTCAGGTTTCCAACAGACCCATCGGAACTTCAGCCACATTGAACCTTCTCCACAAAATGGTTCAATTTTGCTGAATCAACAAATTCAGACAAAAAAATATTGTAGCAAAATTTTCCCAGTGTAAAACCCCCATATAGTCCAATTTGCAATAGTGTGCTTGTGGGTAAAGATCCTTCCTAATTCAAAGCAGTGATATATTGTCTTGTGCCCTGAAGCATGAGAATTGCTATCTGCATATGTTTATTCTATCTAGTATAACAATGGATGATATTCTTAGTATTCATGTAAACGTCCAACCCCTTTCTAACACCTAATAAGAATTTTGTCTCAACAACATCTGTGGGAATAAGCTCCACAGGTTATTTGTGAGTTTTGTAAGGTTCCCCTTGCTCTTGTGTTATGAAAAGGATAAATAGGAGTACCCAACTGATCTCTATATTGTACCATTTATTAATTTATATTCCTCTATGATGCATTCTCTTATTCATCTGCTCTCTAAATTAGAAATCTCTTTTAATAGCCATAACTAAGAATTGAAAGGTAGCTGGCAAAATGATATAATAATAAATGAAGAGCATTCTGCCTATGCCATTGAAATCACTTCAAACCTGAATCTTTTTGTAGTCTGCATTCTCATATGCAAAGAGAAAAACATGTACCTCTAGTCTGAATGTGTTTTATTTCCAATTAAGAAACAACAAAAGTACATATATAGATTTCCATGATAGAGTGAGCAACTGTTGCTGACTCTGTTACGTACCGAGTCTGACCTGAAACATACAATTATGGCTGTCTCACAACTGTCCCTGTCATAGGCAGGGAGACTTCTCTACGTTTAAAGATGCAGAACACAACAAAAAAACAGGATTACATCATATCCTTTCAAGTCCATATCTACTGCATAATAGGTAAAAATGGTGGCCCACTTCTCTTCATCCAATATTCAAGTAGTTCCGATTGACTGCCCCCCTAACACTGTTTCTCTGAGGGAACAGACTTATTTTTTGCTCACACCCATGTCCAGAAAAGTCTTCCGGATGAGCTAGAAGTATCCTGTCCATCCTGCCTGAGCATGAGCAAAACACACTCCCATTCTCAATGTCAGTTCTGATTCACTGGCTCTGGGTTGTAAATAGGTAGCAAGAGTATGAGCCCGTTAGCTGCAGCTAGAAAATGCCTGGGGTTTCCTTAGAGGCTGCAGCAAGGCCTGACGGGCACCTCAGCCGTGTTGTCTAGTGTTAGTACTGGCTGCAGGAATAATTCATGATCTAGCTGCTGCAGGATTGTGGGAAGGTCGTCACAAACAACTATCAACCCACAAAATGTTTCTAAGATAGGTGAGAGAGAGAGGAACCACCCAGGGCAGCCCCCTAGAAGAACATTTATATCAAGGGTTGTGGCTACTTACTACCTCCTGAAGATCAGGGAGAAGTTGAAGGGCCATCCAGCTCCAAAAGAGATTAGACTGGTGGGGAGGGGTATTTTAGGCCACTTAGGGAAGGGGAAGGAGGGTGTTTCTACCTGAAGGCTGGGCAAGTTGAACACTTGTGACCCACATATTTCTAGTCAACATTTGGTCACACAAATAACATATCTTGAAAATCACTATCGAAGTTGCACATTCCTAATAATCTGCATGCTGCCTTATGCATGGCACCCTATGAAAAGATACACCTTGAAGTACTCCATTAATAATGTGTTATTTAACAATTTGTGTGGCAGTGAAAATGAGTTGTAACAAAAATTACTGAACCCTATGATATTGTTTATGGACAGTGACAACTTTACAGATTTTTTTTAAGAATGCCAAAGAGTCATCAAACTGAAGTGCTAAGGGCAGCAGAGAGAGCCAATTGAAAATAACAGAGACAAGAGACAATCAGATCAATGACGACAGACTCTTCTCCTGTGTGTCCGCGACAATGAAATAGTGCCAGCAAAATGGATTAGCTATGTGCTATAAAGACTCCAATTCACAAAGCAGCATTTCTGGCAGAAAACAAAGCAGAATTACTGACTTTTTAAAAGGATGATTTAGACACAGTTGTATTTTTGTGTGAGCATGTTAAAATACTTTTTAATGGATTGTATATTTTATTAACACAACAAGGTGCACTTCTTTAACTTAAAATGAATGTATATCTATGGATAAACTGATAAGGTAAGAAAATCTAAAATTTAACCTTGATGGTGTGAAGTTTGGTTGCAATTGAACCATCTGTAAAGTCTTAGTCATGACGTGATTTAGCAAACTCTGTTTATTTGAACCTTCACTTAACTGGGATGAACTGGAGTCCATGGAGGCATGATGATGAGGCTACTATTAGATATACAACATTAGCAAGCCATCAGAAGGCTTTGGTCTCTCTACATAGTAGAAGACACAAGAAATAGAATCCCGGGAGATTAAGTCTATTGGATAGTGACTATTTTATTTGCTGTTTCCTCCATTCCACTACTGTGCGCAAGGCCTGAACAATCAAGTTTTCATTATTCAGGATATTGTAGTCAATCATTTTCACCGGATTGTCAAAATTCTCTTCACTGAATGAGAGCTCCCTTGTAGTATATGGGAGCTTGCTGTTTCCTCCGTTCCACTGCTGTGCGCAAGGCCTGAACAATCAAGTTTTCATTATTCAGGATATTGTAGTCAGTCATTTTCACCAGATTGTCAAAATTCTCTTCACTGAATGAGAGCTCCCTTGTAGTATACGGGGAAAGGGGACTGGAGACATCAACTTTCCCCTCCTCCATCTCTGTGGGGCTGCGTTCCACACCTAAGAAAAAAATGTAGCAAGTTTTACTAGTGAAACATTACTGCATTTTGGAGCTTATATCAATTAACAAGGCAATAATTGGCCAGGGAGGGAGATTTCTCTCTAGTGAGATAGCTTGCAAAGTTAATTGTCATAGGGATGTACAAGTATCTCTAGCAAAATCAAGTTTTTCAATCTCTACATCACCACTCTCCAGAACTGATGAAAACCAGATTGCTGATAGGGTCAGGATGGGGAAGAACCCATTGTAACAACACTTACTACAGGTCAGCCCTCTGAGTATCATTTACAGGGGACCTACATGATCTGCATATCTGCTTCCCCAATCTAGAAAGAAAGATGCCTCAATGGTAGTGAGCAAAAACAAAATGGAATACTGAGAGCAGGAGAAAATGTAAAAGACAGGGGGCCACTCAAAAATGTATTATAATCAGTGAAACAATGACCCAGCCGATACAGGCTAGCCATACTGAAGGGAAAATGATGACCCATTCAGTGAGCAGATTGTTGATACCGTTGACTAATATATGCTGGATAGCATATATACATCTATTAATAATAGGTATTAGTAAGTGTTCAGCACAAATATCATTAAGCACAAATATAGCAGTTATATGGCCTAAATTCGCCTATGTTTTTTATATAATGCTGCTCACTTATTCTAAGTATCTCATAACCCGTTGCATCCCCTGAAGTAAGTTTTGGCTTGAGCAATTAAGAAAGCTGTCAAGATCAGGACAGATGAGTGCTTTACCATAGCAACAGAAAGGGAGTTACTCTCACAGGCCTGTATTGGAATGTCCCAAAGAAAAGAGGACAAGACATATGATTCTTCTACCCTAGTACAAACCTAGGAGGTGCTTTCATGCCTGTTGGTGCCTGAAATGCAGGTGTTCAGAACAGAGAGAGAGAGAAGTACATCATAGTACCAGAAAAACAAGGTAGAAAGCTGATTGTTTAAATCTCGTTTCAGATGATGTACACAGTATCTTTTAAAAAGAAGAACAGGAGTACTTGTGGCACCTTAGAGACTAACAAATTTATTAGAGCATAAGCTTTCGTGGAC